ATACGGGTTATTAGGCAAAAACTTTTGTCATTTTTCATCTCTAATTTCTGATAACTATCTTTTATATAAAAAGATATATATTAACGGATGCATGATTATATAAATGCCCTCTTTTAATCATAAAAATAACTTTTTATTAACAGATAGGAACAAAAATATTCATCTAGATGCACATTTGAGGAAAAAGAATTGAAAAAACTATCTATTAAGGCACTGAATAGGAGTTTGCTTTGAAAAGAAACCAAAACTTTGTTTTGGTGGAAAAACCGTTAGGAGCTAGTTGCTGAGCTTTATCCATAATTTTGAGTCAAAGTCAAACCTTTTTAACCAACAGACTAAGTCCTGCCTAGCTGATATGGTTTTTCAAAGTAGAGACATGTTCAAGAAGGTCAACAAAGTCATGGTATGGAAATATTTTTGCACCAGATTCAGCAGAAATTGCATGAAAGAATTAGGAAATGATTAATTATTATATGTTTAATTATATTCCCTCAAATAGTAAGTAGAAAGTCATATTCAGAATTTTCTGATTAAGACTTTTTATCAAGTCTTAGCTTCAAACTATATTTTCTCGACTATACGTACGCGGCCATGCCTGGATATAAAAATTATTTTGCCTTTCAAACAAAAGTTTATTATATCAATAAAATTAAGTACGACTTATGAATAGTGATGTTAATGGTTCATGAACTTAGTTTTACCAGCACTAACAACGACAACAAAATGGATATATAGTTTAATTTAATCAGGAGGTGTGAGTGTGCTTAATGATATTGATTTGTTAATTCACTTTCACGTTTATGTTAATGTTAAAAACAATAAAAACTTTATAAATTAATTTTTGTTCTCATATTTATGTCAGTGGCTCAAACTTCATCAGCAAACATTCGCCTCTATCGTCTATGCACTAGGACTTTCTTATGACAGCCCAGCTCTACGAAATTGAAGTGTGCTCACTTTTCAACCATCTTTTTTTTATCACTGTTCCCTTCTCATTTCTATGGGGGACTTTGGCTCAGTCTTATGAGAAATTTCTCCTTTGACTTATCCAAGAGAAGAAATTACTCCATTACCTTCTCTTAATTTCCATCTGGAAGTAATTTAGACAACTAATTGTAAAACAATTATTTATATTTTTCTATTAAAAAATCTTCAATCAAAATCTTCGTTTTTAGGGTCTGTTTAGTTCTGAAAAATATTCTTCATTTTCTATATCTCCATTTTTCACTCCAAATATCTAAATATGATTGATTAATAAACACTACAACAAATTTGACCTAAGATGGCACTTTTTTAAAATGTGCTACTAAAAATATTTTTAATAACACTTTTTTTTTATTTTTTTAGAACATTTTTGTAGATCTAACCTCACTATATAAATTTTTAAATGTATTATGAATAAAATGTAACAATAGGAATTGCATACCCTAGTAAAGGTCGCACTTTTTTATATTGCTACTAAATGTGAAAAAAATGAAGTTAAAATTTTAAATAGCTACACTTTTTAAAATTTTACCATACCAAAAAAAATATGTAGGTTAAAGAAGTGTTATTAAAACTTAATTTTTTTCCAGTGAAAATAAAGTAAACTAAAATTTGGAAAATTAAAAAAAAGTTTTCAAAATTCAGTTGAAAAGATAAAAAAACTTTAAATGAGTTGTCTAGGTTTATAGAAATTGGAAAACAAAAGTTATCTTATTTAGTTGTTTACCCAATTATTTTATTGATGGCATATATAGAGTGCAAAAACAGAAATGAAAAATAAGTAAAAAATTTCCAAAAGAAATAGCGGATTTTTATCCTATACATTTTTATGGATGCATTTTTTACAAACATTTTAAACTCTATAAGCGAAATTAAAGACACCTTACATGTCTCATTAGACTATATACTTAACTAATAATAATAAATTAATAAAATTATTAAATTGACATTAACTAACATCCTAATCCATATAGAATTTAAAAACTCAACCGTTGGTATATAGAATAATAATTCAAAATTAGCTGTGTCCTTAAGTTTTCCATATCAAATGCCTAGAGTTTAGAAATTATTTGACCTTCACTCATATTTCGTATCAAATTCTTAAGTTCAATAAATTTAAATTAATTTCGATTTATAAGATAGTAACTTAAAAGCTTGCTTGGTCTAGCTTTTTTTCAGTTTAAAAGCTATTATGAAGCTCTAATGAAAAATAATAATTTTTAAAATTAAACTAAAACTGTTTTAGTAAATTGTTTAACAAAATTATATAAGCTCTAATTTAAGTTAAAATTACCATAAAGGGTATCTATCCATCTTTAATTACCTAATAAACTATAACGTAACGTTTCAAGTTTATATATGCTTTCGGATGTTAAAATAAAAACAATCAATAAAAAAACGGAACAACTTTCAAACTTGTATAGTAGCAATTTTTGTTGAATTAGTAAGCAATCGGACCATGATGCTTCGATTTTCAAAAAAAAAAGAGAAAAGAAGAAATGGTGTATTTGACATTAAAATTGTTTTTAGTAAAGAAGAGAAAAAACCTTTAAATGCTATTTAAATGTAGTTTTGAATTTTGGATTTTCTTTTCACTTAATCTTTGTAAGGATAAAAAAATTTTAGATTTTGCTATTCTTTTGTTGGGTTTGCTATTTTTTTTTTTGATAGTTTTTGTGGAGAGAGATGAAGGAGAGGGAGATTGCGATTTGTGTTAAAGAATGGTGATATGCAGAAGGAAGGAGAGGAGAGGAGAGGGAGATTGATTGAGAGAGGTGTATTTTCTAAAAAATTGATATGTTTTTAGATGAAGATAAGAGAAAGTTTCTCCTTAGAGCCTTTTTTTTAAGTTTTTTTTTTAAAAATTTTATTCTTAACAAAATGTTGTTTCTTTTAATAATTTTTCAAAATCATATTTGACTTTACTTTAACTTTTAAAAAAAGTAGATAAATTGAAAACAAGACAGCCCAAACAAGACACCATTTGGAATCGATAGAGTATAATCTTTTAGGTCAAATTGTTATCTCGGAATAAGTTGGCTTTTGAGGATATGGCAGAGGTCAATAGAAATGTAAAAATTGGCTAGTTCCCTGCAAAATATGTCGTGCTTAACGCGTTTGCACAAGGCAAGCAAGGGATCTGTTGGGGTTACATGAACAGCTGGAATAAGGATATTGCCGTTTCCATCTACCCACCCACCCACTGTTTTCCAACGAAGCCCTTAACAAACATGTTTAACGTGCAAAGATTTATTACGTTTCATCTACAATTCATTTGTGAATTAAATTAGTTCTTTATGACAGATGAGAAGAGTCACTTAACATGATTCTATTCACATGCCTTCTCCCAAAACAACCACTGGATCTCTAGTAGTCGATGACACCGGTCTAGACAAACTAGAAGAAAGTCATGAGTTAGAGATTTGCACATGCCACTAAGTCTGGTAATTTTATTTTGATTGCGTCAAACCCAATGGCGTCATTGCTCAATGAAGATTTTCCTAGGGAAATGAATGACGTAGACCAACAAGTTTTGTTGACTACAACCGCGTTTCGAAACTTATACGCGCTAGAAGAAACTTCAAATTTGAGTGCATGCGTTTGGCGGCTCAAAGCATTGCTGTAAGGTACATCTATAAATAGGACAACTCTTGATCAACTCTGCACAAAATCATCAGTTTGCAAAATAAACTCGTATCCAAAATCAGTTTCACAAATGAAGTCTCTTCTGTTTTCAATATCTCCATTTATTTTTGTTGTTCTCTTCGCATTGTCATGGGCAACTTCAGCTTATGCCGATGAGAGCTTTCTTGATTGCCTTTCTCTTCATTCTAAAGATTACTCTTCCATTTCCAAAGTTGTTTACACTCAAAATAATTCTTCTTATTCATCTGTTTTGGAGTCTACCATTCGAAATTTCAGATTCACTGCACCCACTACCCCTAAACCTTTGGTCATTGTGACACCTTTGGATGTCTCCCATATTCAAGCAACAATTTATTGTTCAAGGAAACATGGGCTCCAAATTAGGACACGGAGTGGAGGTCATGATTTTGAAGGTCTTTCTTATGTTTCTGAAGTTCCATTTGTCATCGTTGATATGGTTAATTTACGATCAGTTGACATTGACGTAAAAAATAGAGTTGCATGGGTTCAATCAGGAGCTGTTCTGGGAGAATTGTATTACAAAATTGCCGCGACAAGCAATACTCTTGCCTTTCCAGCTGGTCTTTGCCCCACTGTAGGAATTGGAGGATACTTAAGCGGAGGAGGTTATGGCATATTGTTTCGAAAATACGGTCTTGCCACGGATAATGTAATTGACGCACAACTTGTTGATGTTAACGGGAGAGTTCTGGATAGAAAATCCATGGGAGAAGATCTGTTTTGGGCCATTCGAGGAGGTGGAGGGGGTAGCTTTGGAATTGTTGTTGCATGGAAAGTGCAGTTGGTTTCTGTTCCAGCAACAATGACTGTATTCTCTATCAACAAGACCTTGGAACAAAATGCGACCAAACTTGTTCACCGTTGGCAATCTGTTGCACCCAAGCTTCCAGATGGTTTTTACTCCGGTGTTACCCTAACAAGGGTGAATTCCAGTCAAGATGGGAAGAAGACAATTCTAGCTTCTTTTCATTCCTCCTTTCTTGGTGGCATTGACGAGCTCGTACCATTGATGCAAGAGAGGTTTCCTGAGCTAGGATTGGTGAGGGAAGATTGCATTGAAATGAGTTGGATTGAATCTATTCTCTACATGGGCCAACTTTCAAATGAAACCTTGGATATTTTACTTGATAGGACTTTCCAGAGTCCTCTTCTTAGTCCTTCCTTCAAATCAAAATCAGATTACGTGAAGAAACCTATTCCTGAAATTGCATTTCAAGGGTTATGGTCCAAGCTTTTTGAGGAAGAAGCAAGATTTGCTAGTTTAAGTTTTATTGCTTACGGAGGCATAATGGATGAAATTC